AACAAAAGCTAAATGTGCTGGAGCTGGATCTGTTGTTTCTACTGGGTATCGGAGGAAAATAGATGTGCGAGGAGGCATCCTCCAAATGATGGAGACTTGACGCGAGATTTCTTTCTCCCTGCGTCGCCCTTTACCAAAAAGGATGCTCAGCTTCCCCTTCGCAGTGCAGCAATGTGGCGTCAACACAGAGCGAAAACACACCGCCCAGCTTACCTGAGATCCTGCTGCTGCTGCTCTGACGCGCTGCTGCCAATAGCCTCTGCTGCAAATTGTTCAGTATTTCCCCCTTGCAGTGACAGAAGGTGACCCTGCGTTTCTCTGCAAGACTGCATCCACGAGATCACGATGCGCGCAGCGAGGGGGAGCTCCACAGCACAGGCGCGCGGCGGGGGGATGGCCCAGCTCTCGCTCTCAATGGACAACCCAAATAGGCTGCAGGAGAAAAAGAATGAGATCAAGTAACTTGATAACGCCACTTTCTCAATCCCTCTCCTAACGTTGACCTCAGGTGGACAGGGGCTGCTTCGCCAGCTGGACCAACATTACTGTGCCATCGTTATTTTTTTGCATCTGCAACAGAATTTTGCATGGACTGCATGCGAATCAAAGATAAATGCTTACTCAATTACATAATGTGGAATTTTTCAACGATAACATTGGTGTTTAAAAGATGGGGAGAGCCCCCAAATGTGACTTGCACCGTCAGACCAATGAGAAGCGTTTTAAGAGGAGGTGTCACCGCTCGTTCTTGTAAACCACGCCCACACTCAACCAGGCTGCAGGGGAGGGGGTTGAAAGGAGTGTTTTTGTCCATTGGCTGCCTAACAGGCCAACTGACTCATCCACTGTTTCAAGAGCATCAGAGACATCTGCTCACCTGCTGATTTTCATGGCGCCACGTTTTGCACTGAATGGCGCTCTTGATTACCCAAATTACAAAAACAACAGCAATTTTACAGCAAAGAACAGAGCAAGAGTTTGTCTGCTCATGGGTGAGTGACAGAAACAACGGGGTAGATGGATTTAGGTAGTGTGGAGAAATCTAGGAGTGGAACTACATCCCAACACATTTCCACAGTGCAGTCTGCACCATACTTGAAAAAGACGGGGAACGGATTGGCAAACAAGAAAGCACCAGAGCTGGTTATCCACCAGTTACTACAGTACAAATAGAGCAATCATGTACTAAATGACTTCCAACATTAAGATATCGACTGGAATTTTGGTACAACTATACAAATAGAGTAAACACACATCTAGGTTTATGAGCCCTAACTTTATATCTATGATTAAATTAAACTGGCAATGAAAAATTTTTTTTCTATTTCACTCAAGTCTCTTGCCATTTTTCAAATAACCCAAGACTGATCATACAGACTGAATGGAGGGAAGTACATCTGAAATGCATCTGGGCAGTTTTTAGAAGACAATCTCTTCCTATGAACCCACATGTGCTAAGTGACATCTAGTGGCAATCAATGGGCAGTGCCAACATTAATCCCATCCTGTTGGACATTGTGAAGTTTCAAATGAATCAATGAATGTTGTCCTTCCCATCCTCATTCTGGACTATTAAAGTGGTGTTCAGGGTGTTACGAGCTCCTGTGTTGAGTGATGGTTTTTCTGTGTTAGCAAAGATGGCTTCCTTAAACCCTCTCTCAAATCATCTATCTTCCTTGACCAGAATGTGGACGTTGCTGTCCTTAAACGAGCGTCCTTTAGCCTTCAGGTGTAGGTGAACAGCTGAGTCCTGTCCTGAGGATTTGGTCCTCCTGTGTTGAGCCATGCACCTGTGTAGTGGTTGTCTGGTCTCTCAAATGTACAGATGTGTGCACTCTTCACTACACTGAGTGGTGTAAACCACATTGTCGGTCTTGTTTCTGGGTTTCTTGTCTTTGGGGTGAACCAGTTTTTGTCTCAGGGTGTTCCCAGGTTTGAAGTGCACTTTGCACCTAGTTGCCTAAACTGAACTTTTCCAGATTTCTGATATAAAAAACTTTTGAGAAAAGATGTGAAATTGTTAAAAAAAAGGTGCAAAAAAAACAAAAAAACATCTAAACTTGTCATGTTACAATGTTCTTAAAAGCTGAAGCCCTTTAAAAAAATATGGGGAAAAAATAAATAATAAAACCAGAATTTTTTTATATTTGTAATTTATCACAATACGATATGTCAAAATTATTGTCATGCAGTCTTCTGCCCGACGTCATCAGGCATATGTGGTGTATTCAACAGGGTTTTGAGCAAAGTTTTTTTTACCACTGAATGATGCAGAAAGTCTCAGATTGTATATATTTCAGAAGCTGTATGTATCAAACATGATATATATGACATTACGGAGTTAAGAAGAGTTCTGCAAGTGATGGGGAAAAAGTATCCAGACAAAACAACAACATATCTGTCTTTTTTGCATCAAGAGAAATCGTTGGCATAGAATGGACATATGGGCGACAGACAGACTTTCACCTGTAATTTCTGGATGCAACAGTAAAGTTGGCCGAGTGGAAATTGTATTCTAATTTACTTTAAGATTAAGGGTTCCAATAATGTTGGTGTCTTCATCTCCAGAACAATTTAAACTTCCTAAATCATTGTAATCTTGAATTTGTACATCAATCTTGAATTTATACATCAAACACATTGTTTTCCAAAGTTTTTCAGCCAACCCAATGTGGACGATAGAATTAACCATCAACAGTTTATTTATTCTGCATCTGGAAGTCCAACATGATGTTTTCTGTTTCATGCTTACATTTCAGGGAAAGTGTAATGCTCTTATTAAAAAAAAAAAGGTTTTCCTTTACAGAATATTACCCCCTGTCCCTGCAGTATAACTATATATATTATATAGGAGATTTAAGGTGAACAAAAGATTTTTGATCATGTCCAACACAATTTATGTATTTGTAGCAATCTTACAGTTTTTTCCCACTTAAAATCATCTTGTATAATAGGCCTATAATTAGTCTGGGCCATCCTTAAATCTTTGCTTGGTTAAGCTGCTTTAGGCCGGGGCCATCAGGAAACCTCTCAGTAAGCACGACTTATCTCTGCTTCACTACTTTACCATCTATGCAAGTGTATTTAATAATAAGTTCCACTTAAACTGTGAGGGTTGGATTTTTCTCATCTGCTGCCACGGATTAGGCAGCTCTTCCCTCTGCTCATTGTTTTTTTTTTTCATGTGTTGGAGCCCTCAGCAAATATTTAAAAGTAGCCACTCACCTCAACAGGTTCCTTTAAACTGAAGGGGTCCTAGTAAAAAGAATCCTTTTTTTTTCTTCATTCCCCCAATGGTTACCCGATCCTGACAGAGCTCTGCTGTTTTTCTGCAAATATGCATAAAAACATATTTTATAGTGGATTAAAACAGTATGGATGAAAATAAATAAATCTTAGCAACCACTGCTAAAGCCATGACTTTCACTTTGAGAGCACTAAGTGGGCCTAGGCTCATATAAACTCTTACAGTAGCAAAGTTGCAGAAACTGATGCAGATGTAATGAGTGAAACATACCTGTTCATATGAGCCAGTCTTAATCAGTAAATGATTAGAAAAACAGCTGCATCGTCAAAATGACAGAAGGTCTTGTAAAATATGTAGAAATATGACCTCTTGTTGCATAATCTTCATGCATTTTTCTTGGACACAATTAAAAAGAGTATGAATTTTAGGAGAGGAAAAATATGGTAAGGACTAGGACTTATAAAAGCCATCATGCTGCACTGAGAATCTGCAATGTTAAATTAGAATACCACAAAACGTGCTTTGTATACTAACACAATCTTATCACATTGTAATATTACTCTGGATATTACTTTGCTGCAGAGAGATGTTGAATAAATAAATCAATCTTTAATTTACTGGTGTCGTGAGCTGCTCATACTCCTGTTCTCATTTTCGTCCACATGAATTTGAGCAAGAACGATTGTTTAAAAATAACTGAGTGATGCAATGGAAGTTGTGCCGGCAAGGGATTGCGGGACTGAATTATCTCCCTTCTCTCATGATCAGTAGTTCAGCGCTCCTAAAGGAAATCTTACTGAGAGGATCTGACCTCCTTTCCTGGTTATTTGGGAGAATTCCAAAAGCACAGCTCAGATAATTCCAACTGATTCTCCAAAGTTTAGAAGGTTTCCTAAGCAAAATAAACTATTGTTTAATATCGAATGTGTGACAAAGGTCCAACAAAGATATTTTACTAACAATTTAAAGAGATCCTGAACCTGAACAGAAAAAAAACAAGATAAACAAAGGCACAATATTAACTTAACAGTTAGTGAAGCACATTTCATACATTACACAGACATTTTCTTTCCAGCTGGGTCTAACAATGCTAACATTCTAAAGGGACTTACTTGCAGTTTTTTTCATATTACTACCTAAATGCCACCATTAAATCCACAGAATTGTAATGTTTGATAGACTGTTGTTTGTCTTCACAATTTCTTTGCTTTCAATTTCTCCAGTTCTTACTTCTTAACCATACTGCATTTTTTCCAAGTTTCCGAACAATACAGTATTCAGGTCAAAGTTAACACCATTACAACCATTACATTACAATTTTTTGCTAAGGTCATGGGTCAGTGGAGCATTACCCTTGCAAAGTTACTGAGATGATCATCTGACCATGCACTGCATATTTTCTCTGGAATTCTCTGGTGATTTAATGAGCTATCTGGTACCTCTAAACTGAGGCAAAAGCAAGTGCTGTGTCTGCATTCTTGGCACCAAGTGCCAACATGCACTGTTTGGTTTTCTTATAACAGAACCTTCTTTCTATGAACTGTGCTGCCTGCTTTACGTTTTTGTATAATAAGATTCGTACTGTAAAGTAAATTCTATAAACATTTAATAGCCACATTTTAAGCAGCAACAACCAAGATGTAAAACGCTCTCCTGAAATCTTGACCTCAACTCAAATCGGAACTACTTGCAGGCTTTACTTTGGCAGCTTGAGCTTCGGGCTGTTATTCTGAAGGACTCAGACAGGAAGTCCTGCTGTTGTTGTTCCGGAAAAGCGGAAGTCCCTCCCACAGCTGGAACCTGGAACGTCTGACGGCGGAGGGGCGCTTGAGGTTGCACGGTGAGTTAGGAATTACTCAAAAACAAAACATGTCGCAATGTGTTTACCTAATGACGCACCTCGTCTCGCACTTTTCTCAGCTCGTTGCGTAACGAAACGACAAAGTTGAAGGGTCACGGCTCGGTTTACGTTAGCTGAGTCTGCCCGGTTTGGGACTCTGACAGATGGTTTTCCAGCTGTTGGGTCTGTGTGGGGTTTTTTGCATGAAAAACTGACTTGCTGACAGTGGGTAAATTAAGTTTTTGGCTGTGAGGAAGGGCCGTCTGTCTAATCATAGCAATGCATCTCGCCGTAGCAAATAAAAGAAGCTTGCTAACAACACATCCACTGTATGGTCGTAGCTCATCGATCTCTTTGAATCATTGAACTTTCTCGTATAATAATTAGTGTACCACAAATACTCGTTCATCTGCAAACTCATCCTCAACTGTGTGATTTTTTTTTTTTTTTTTACGGCTGCTGTGATGGGCATGTCGCTGTGTAAATTCCTCTCCCTCCTTGCTCCCCTCAGATTTGTCGCTGATTAGGGAGGGCAGTGATACCATGTGGCAGTCACATGAACGTGGAGGATGAGGCAGGATCGAGGAGGCAGCCTGACTACTGAGCCGCTGCACAGTGTCCACCGCAAAGAGGGGGGTTGCTTCCTGTACGAGGACCCCCACACAAGCTCCCCCCTGTGTCCCTCCTCCGTGAGCCCCCACAATGAACAGCACCACCCAGACCCCCGCCGTGGTGGACGGTGGCCTGCCGGTCAGCTACGTGCTGGTGCCCTTCCTGCTCATAACCATTGCCGGGATTGCTGCGGCTCTGGTAAGCCTCCGGCTGGACCTGCATGGCCCGAGGGAAATATCTACCCTCCGTCTGATGAAATCCTACAGTCCCAATCACCAAGAGACTAACGTTTTTTTTTAATTGTCTCTGTTCCAGATCTTGTATATCCGCAGGAAAAGGAGGTGAGACCGCTTTGTACGTATTGTGGTCGGGTCTTAGATTTGACTCATCTAAACAACAGCGATTTGTGTTTTCCCCAGAATTGACCGGCTTCGTCATCAGCTGTTACCAGTTTACACATATGACCCTTCAGAGGAGCTGAATGAGGCCGAACAGGAGATTTTGTGGAAAGAGGAAGACACGAGGGTAAGACGGACCACGGTCTTGTTTTCTGGGCTGCAGAGTCACCTGTAGATGTATGAATCAATACGATCTTCTAAATCAACAATGCAAGCATTAAGGGACATCTAGTAACCCGTTTTTAACCCAAAAAAGGGTAAAAACATATCCTGTTTGACTTCATGTTTGTATTATCTTTTCTTCTCTGTGATTCTTCTGTCACTATTTACAGCATTTAGCTTAACGGCACAATAGTTCCCCAATTTGATGGTCTCTTCCGCTTACACACACACACGCATGCGCACACGCACACACACACACACACACACACACACACACACACACACACACACACACACACACACACACACACATAGTTGCTAAAGTAAATGTTGCAATACTTTTTTTGCTGGCCTCATCATTAGCATCTAGATTATGTTAAAAGGTTTTTTAAATTATCTTTTTTCAGTCGCTGTAATTCTGTGCAGATAAGCCTCTCCAACACCTCTGGAGGTTGACATATGTAACACCTGCATTGAAGGAGTTTGAGATCTGAAAGATGCTGTAATAGAAAAGATTGTTGACTCTTTTCATAGTCATCAAGCACACGTGACTTCCATCAAATATATATAGACTTCCTCTGGAGATTGGAAAAAAAAAAAATAATTAAATAATTCTGTGAGGATTAAAATGTGATTACATTTACATTGAAATTCAATATGTATGTATGTTTTCCTCCAATCCACCGTAGCTGTTTCAGGTCCCATAGAAACGGACATTCTCAAACAGTGCAGTGTTTTCTGTCTTAAGGAACACTAGATGGCAGCATCGTCCAAAGTGTCTCACTACGTTTGTTACTAAGGTTATGGAACTAACTTCACCAGCACGAGGCTTTGAATTAACCCTAGTCTAAAAATCACAGACTAATCCCAGCATTCTGACATATACATGGCCATGCAAACAGTTGAGGTGTTTTTTGATGACATGGAAAAGTCATGTTTCACTGCAAACAAAATCAGCCTCCGGTCACCATTCGTTTCCAAATCCTTTCAGCTGATTTGACCTTTCAACACAGAAAGTGTTCACGGAGCACTGTAACGGCTCAGCCCACGCCGGCTGAGCCCATCCTGGCAACAAACACGTGACCGCGTTAAAAACTGTTCTTCCACTCTTTCATGTCAGCAGATTGTGCAAGGCTGGGCGAGAAGCTATCAGCAGCGACGCCCCCTTCTGACCAAAGACGTCAGTGCATGATGGAAGCAAACCATGACACGGGCCGCGGTGGAGCGAGGACACAACCTTCAGCCATAGAGATTAGTTATCTTTCAACTTAAGCTTGTCACTTTGTCATTGCTCCCGTTCGCCGTTATCTCCAAGTACACGAGCAACAATAAGCCTTTCTTTAACCTGTGTTATATATAGACCGACTGCTCGTATGTGAAGTCCTGATGCCAATCCCGTGTGCCTAAGAGATGCATCACCTTTGATTTATTTATTTGAATGTATTTATTTAAAAAAAAAAAAACATTTTTACTGTTCTACGCAGTTGCATCAAAGTCCCGGAATGAAGGCAGACGGTATGCGCCCCTTTAGGTTTAGTCTGTTTACAATCACTTTGTTATTGTGGGTGACGTGTGGCAGGCAGCTATGTTCCTGTGGGTTGCAGCAGGCATTAGTGCTGATGGTAGCCATGCCCCTGCTCAGTGTGGTAAACGCTGCATGTCTACCGGTTAGACATCAGCACTCCTGCCTGTCTGGGTCACTGCACGCCATCGTTTGCCTCATATCGTTGGTTACTCTGATAAAACACCTCTGCGGTGTTGAAAAAGATCTGAACTTCATGTCTGAGTCAGTATTAGGGGCCACGCCCCGCCAGGCCGAGTGTCCGTGGGAGACCCGGGGCACTTTCGTTTTCACGTCTTTCGCCGGAGTTGAGTCGCTGCCCTGGAATGCGCATCTTTTGTGGTTTTGCCAAATTCTGTGACTCAACAATGGCATGATTCACCAGATTTGGAAGCCAATACCACCAGCTTCCTCTCGTCTCCTAAATGAGTTGTGACTAGCACCCAAACTATGTCCTGTGTACAAGGCCCGGCACCAGCAAACTGCAGCTTTGGCTGAAGAACCAGTGCAGATGAATGCCACAGGTCTGACTGTTCTCAGGAAACTACACCTTCACCCACCCACCCACCCACCCCCCTTCCTTACTGGGTTTAAAATCTTTATTTGCCTTGCATTTGTTGAATGTAAACTGTTGCGTCCTCGAAGGGCACCGATTCAACAGTGGCAATGTGAAAAGCTACTAGTGCTCGCTCATATCGGGCAAGACATCTACAGGTGCTTTAGTCTGAGCCCTTCATCATCAGCACTGGACACGGGAGCACACGCTGCTGTCAAACATGTTTTTTTGTAAGATCACTTAATATTCGACATATGGGAAGAAGAAAACTTAACGCTTTGAGTAACTTCTGCATTGACTTTTAATGGTTCCGGAGGCGCTTGAGTCAAAGAACTGCTGATGTAAATGTGATATGGACTGCACTGTTGAATTTTTTTTTTTCTGTCAGGCTTAGTTGCTTGGAACAATAAAGATGTTAATGGAGTGATACGTCGTCTATCCCGCAGCTGCCAGTTGCATCCAAAAACAAGCAAATACACTAGTTCCAAAGACCGTGACAAAACAAAATGACAAAGAAAATTCTCTTTATTGACCATTTCTGATACAAATCGTAGGGCACCATAGAAATATAGACATTGTACATTTATATACGTGTACATTAAAAAGAATGATCCCATCCTATTGAGTTTACAGTATATAAATCAACAGATGCACGTTGCTATGTAAAATGACTTGATGTCGTCGAGTAGTTTGGAGAGGATGAAGAAGTGTTCGAATGTTTGAATGTTGCGCGATTATGGGATGGGTGTGTGTGGTCGTGCCAGACGCACGGAGGCCAACAGAACAGTGAAGAACGCCCAGTCTACACAAACGTTTGTCCATGAAAATCTGAACCAATATTTCAGTGCACCAGAAGATTTTTTTTTTTTTTTTAAAGGACCAAAAAAAAAAAAAGACAAAAAACACGCCTGCTAATCTACCACAGTCAGCGAACACAGTTGTCAAGCTGACAGGTCTCCCTGACTTGCTTCACACATTTAAAGAAAAAAACTAAACAAAACCTGTCTGTGAGCTCTGATAATGAACGAGCCCGGACTAAAGCGCTTCGACATCTTCAGCTACCTCTTTAGTCAGGTAACGAAACCACAAAAAAAAAAAAAACAACTTTGTAATAATGACCTCCTTCAACTCATGCCAGAGGATACAGTAAAAACAGAAAAACCAGTTAAATGAAATCACGGTAGAGTAAGCGGTTGAGTGAGGTATGAGATACGCAGGCTTTGCCTCGCCTGTTTGCAGTTTTCCGGGTTTTGTAACTGAGGTTGTAGCAGCTTAAGTGTGTGGAAAAAAACCCAGTTAATTGGACTGTGACCGCAGTTTCCCTGACACTTAGAAAACACACAAAACAATTTATTTCTCTGTAGCCGACAGCATACGACACACATATTAAGAAAAACAAAACGAAAAAAAAAAAGTTTTTTTAACGGCTCTAAAGACGATGGCTAAGAAGCAGTGAGAGCTAGATGGAATGAGAACCGTACAGCCCTGTGGGACAGGGGAGCTGTCCGCTGTGACAATCGGACTCCTTGTTTGAGCAGTTGCGTTTAACCTTACGAGCGATCGAGTGTGCGCCCAGGAGGAAGGAGGAAAAGAGTAAATGTAGCAATGTAACAGCATTTGTGAAAGCTCCCTGAAGAAACAACACCGATGACTTTCAGCCAAGAAATCTGTCGACTCTATCCGTTAAAAACACACATACCAAAAATAATCGAGTTATAATATGAAAAAGCAGCACGCTCATGTTTTGTTTTTTTCTTTCTTTTAAAAATGGTATGTAACCTTGAGAAAAGAGGGGTGGGGGGGACAAAACAAAAAGAAACAGCAAGTCTGGTCAGATTATTCTGTTGACTAATGATGCACTTTACATCTCCCCACTACATGCCAAGGACTGAATGTTTAAAAAAGCATCACTAAATCTAGACTGTCCAACAGGAAAGGTGGGAAAAAAGAGATCAGTTAGACATGGAACTGACACTTCTACCATCAGTCACCTATTCTCATCCTAAACGCTGAAGCTCAACTCCATCTAGAATTTGATGCAAAAAGGAGAGGTTAACCACTTCACACAGACAAAAAAACAGCAACTAGGTAAAATTCACCTTTGTCCAGTACAAAAAACGAGCAGAAAAATCTATATGCCCTACCATCTCAGATGCGGGTACAACAAATAACGTTAAGCAGAGAAAATGTCCTTGAAACCATCTTCAGGGGAGGGAAAAAAAACATCCAGGCTCCTCGGAGCACACTTGTCCAGTATAAAAGACTCGTGATAACATGACATGTAGAGAAAAGGGCTGTTACCGTTTATGTAATTCTTAGATCTACGCTTGAGCAAGTCCATCTTTCTATCCAGTGCAGCTGCATGATGTATGTACTGTGTTGACCCACCTTTGGTGAAGGGGGCTTTGTTGTGAACAGTGGTCATGTGGTGGCACTGGTGTTGGAAATACAGCCCAGTTCTGGTTAACAGTAAGTCAGTATGTTGAGTGAGGTAGCATGCGTTGGATTACTGGTCCTCTTCCTCCTCCTCCTCAGATGATTCTTGGGATGCCTTCTCTTCTTTCTCCTGTAAGAAGGACAAGAAAGAGAAAGAAAAGAAGAAAGAAAAAAAAAAAAACGTCAGACATTGACTGCACCCACAAGTAAAATGCATTCACCGCTCGGCAACAATAGTTCCTTGTGATTCATGCCTCAACATGACTTTTTTTTTTTTTTTTTAAAATTTTACCAAACCTGAGTACTAATATGAAAAAAAAAAAAAAACTCTTTGATAAACCCCACTGGCATGAAAAATACCCAGGGGAAGGGTGAGCCATCTGTAGTGAAGTGATTCATCCATGGTGAGTCATGATGAGGCATCCTGCTTTTTCCCTCTGCACACTCACTGCAGCCCGGCGTGTTCATTCATAAAAGCCGGCGGGCTGGTTAGGAGGGCCACTTTGGGTCTTTCCTTTCTGTGACTAATGCAATCCAGACATGTTTTTACAGTACGCCCTAACCACTAGTGCACATGACAGAATGTTACTACAACAATTTCTTCCTTGATTTAACACACGCTCGTGACTATGAAGCCTGACAGCTCTGTTTTTTTAAGGGTTTTCCACAAGTATTTAACCCCTGTGTTGTTCATATTTTCGCTACACACGAAGGAAAGTCTGTGGATAAGTCGGTACAGTCATAATCAACTCTTTGGGGGATATTTACTCCTGTACAGCTTCTGCAGTTCATCCACAATCCGAAAAATCTTACTGTAGAGCAAATGTTTGAACAAAGAGTGTTTAACCTATTTTTGCTGCTGAGCCTTTGCAGTCATTTCAGACTGTACAGCTTGTAAATCACATTACCAAGGAGTTTCTAACTCATCCCATTAGTTGTACCTTCAGCCGATTCTTTTCAAGATCACTTCTTTTTCTAGCACTACGCTGACCGTGAACTGAGGATGTATTGCCGCTGTCAAACCCGACAGGAAGGAACAGGGGCGTTTTAAACTGGCTACTTTAAAATGGTGTTCTCCCGAGTGCAGAGTTAAACTGTCATGGTGCTGGGATGAGGAAACAGTATCAGTACAGACTGATAGGAGCTAGCAGAAGGGCAGCTCCAGGCCCCCCTGAGCTGAGATCCTCCATCTATCGCAATGCAGAGTCATGCTGACTCAGGTCCAGTTTAAACAAACAGAACACACACTGTTAGTGCAAGTGTGTGTCTGCTGAGGGGAAACTAACCACAAAATAATGAATAAATAAATATATATATATCATAAGTGGGTTTCTTTGTAATTATAGAGAGAAAAAAAAAATCAAACCATCAACATCATGATTCTTATTTCCACGCAAAAGTTAGAGCACTTCTTCAGGAAGACATATCTGACATTCTGCAATCACCAGGTGAAGCCTTCAAATAGACGAGCAGCTGCTCAGAATGAACCAAAATAACCGAAGAGTAAAAACGACTCGTCTGAGGGGAAGGAGGCAGTCACGGGAATTAAGGGGAAAATGCAATTCCACCCCTCAGACGGCCATGCCGGTCATAATTGGATTTGGGGCGGGGTGGGTGGGTGGGTGGGTGGGTGGGTGGATGGATGAGGGCCCTTACCTCCTTCTTGGGCCTTCCCCTGCGCTTCCCCCCCGCGGACGGGGCCGCCGTCGCCTTCTGCAAATCAAAACAACACGGGGTCAACAAGGCAAGCAGAGGGTCGCTGACATTTGTGCTCGGAGACTTGCTGAGCAACGGCCAAGGCTTTTCCACATGACAAAAAAAAATAATAATAAAAAAGGGCCGCCTGCTATCAACAGTCCGCTTCCCCCGGAGCCCTGCCGTCGGCGGCCTGTAGAGGGCAGTCGCACATCTGCAGTGAGAGGGGACGGAGAAGGGGGCATCGGGTTCATTGGCTATTATCTGGAAGGCCAACAGGAACTGCACACAGGGCACTCCAGTTCGCCGGCCACCTGGTCTGAGGCTCAGAGACAGCTGGTGAAAGCGAGCGCAGACACCAGCCTACCGCCGCCCGGCCCGGGGGCCTCCGGGCCTATATCAGTCCGCGTCCCCGACGCCGCCCGGCTCTGCCGTTCCCATACATAGCAGCCGAGCCGCAGCGCACGGGGGAGCCGGAGGGTTGGGGCGAGGGAGAAAAAAAAAA